TGTGTGTGGGTCTCCGTTGGAGTGTGTGGAGTGTGTGTCCCCACAATTGTTTTGACTTAATTTGCATGCCCGTCCAAGGATCATCAGCGCGGGTGTTAAAGGACCTCCGCCAACGTGTGCGGCTAATTACCAGCACAAGGATAGCACTACCAGGAGAGCCAAAGAGCAAGGACTCCGGGTGCTGGCAAACGCACATTATTGCCGGGGAAGGGGGAAGGAGGAGCACTGATGTTGCCAGTTAATTAGGAAATTAAATTGACTAAAGTGCTTGAGCGTTTTGCCTGTTTGCCAACTTGTCAGTTTGGCTGTTTGGCCGATTATCCTGCGACCACCACTCCTTGGAAAATAATTTAGCGCAAATAAGTTTAGCGAGTGCCCCATTGCCGGCATGGCTCCTGATTGATTTACGCATCTCTAACTCCAGGGGCATCTCTGTGTGCGTTTGCAGCGCACATTGCACATACGACGCGTGGGCCTCCTGCTGCGTTGCACATACGCCGCGTGGACACACAGTTTTCTTGGAGCTGCCCCCTCTTTTTTCGATGGCTCCATGGCGCCATGGCGCCATGGCTCCATGGCTCTATGTATTTGGCAGGGGGCCGACTGTTGGCTGCCTACTTTTAGGCGGCCTGCCATTCATTTTCATTTACTCTTCTGCACTCCGTCTCCTGGCTTTTCCTCCTGCTTCGCCTTATCGTTGGGCTTCGGTATATAGAGCGCCAAGCGAACGCACAGAACGCACCAACTGCCGGCTTTTGGAGGCGGAGCCAACTCGGCTGGAGATGAAAACGGAGAAGGAAGGAGGTCCTGGGAGGAATGATGGCTGCCGGGCTGCCGGGCTGCCAGGCTGCTGCGAGTCCGACTTATAGCGTAAGGATTGCAACCATTAATTATGATGGACATGCGTTTGCAGGGGAACTGGGCAGGGGATAAGGCATCTTCTATGGCAAGGATCAATCAAACTGCAGCAGAGTGCAAATAATATTCAGACACTCTTTTTTCAAGGAAATTGTCCGTCAAGCTTCGCTTGCAGGACCCTCCTTAACTGTAAACTGTCCACTGTTCCTGTCCCCATTTTCTTTTTTTGTTATCCATTTTCGCCAGTTGACAGACAAAGAGCCCGGCTGTATTTCCATTTGTGAGCCACAAATGCCAACGAAATGTCAAATAGAAAATGTTTTAGCGGAAATTTGATTTTAAAAAGCGTTTTGCCAGCAACTAAATGAGATTATGCGCTGCCCAAAAGTGCAGAGGGCAAAAGCAGAGCACACAGGACATGCGGCATATACAGGACGTACAGGACACACATACTCACGGTGCCCGGGGCAAGTGAGGCATTAAAAAATGCAAAATTATATATCAAAGCAGCAAAGGGACAAGACAGGACGAAGACCGCTGCATGTCACATGAAATTATTATATCCCGCCACACATCCACATCCACATCCACATCCACATGCACATGCCGTTCGGGGCATTGAAAATATTCCAACGTGATCCGGCTGCCAAGTGGCCTCCTTCCAGGACATCCAAGAAGGACATCACAGGACAGGCAGCCAGCCAGCCTTCGCTGTCCAACGAGCCATGCAAAATAAAATAGCAACACGAAAAAATGCGAAATTTTGTTAGAAAATTGCAAAAAATTACATACTCGTACATATTTGCTTCATATGCAGCGGCGGAGCTGCAAGGATAGTGGCGAATTTCCGCTGTCACAAAGGACACGTGAGCTGATGCTAATGCACTGGCCTGCCAATGCCGCGCAACCTGGCGGATACTTGATGCTCCGCCATGAAATATGGAGGAGCCGCGCTGCAGATGCTGGCTGCGCTTTAAGTGCCTGGCCTGTGCCCCATTAGATGCGCTTCAATGGGCTAACCAGCAATTAGTGTCCGCCCCAATAAAAACATCTTAATAAATCAGCTCGCAGCTAATGTTGCCACAGCAATGAGTGCGGCGTTGGGTGGCGAATGCCACGTATGTGTGCCACCCATCCATAATCTGGGCAGACAATACGCGTCCCTCAAGTTCATATTTCAAACGCGGCCCCCCACCCGCTCCCCACTGTCTGCACTTTTCAAGTGTTTTTTTGCCCTCCACTTGGAAAATTAAATGGGATGGGTCTGCGATGGGTTGGGATGGGATGACCAACCCTTGGAACACTTATCGCATTCAACATCATTTGCATGCGGAGTGTTCGCCGCTGTCGGTTGTGAAACAAATAAAATCAAGAAATAAATTAGAGAAATGCAAAAAGAACGAGCAAAATCCGGAAATGTTTGCCCAAAAAACCAGAATCTATACATGGCCAACAAATATGGCCGTTGTTGATTTTTTGCAATCTGCACTTTTCTGGTCCTTTGTGCAGAATGTTGCCACAGACTCGAGGCTGTCCTTTAGCTCCATCACCAGCTTCAGATTCAGTTCCAGCCATGTGGTGGCTCTGTGGAGCTGCTCCACCTCCAGCTCCATCTCCATCTCCAACTCAAGCTCCATCTCCTGCCACATCCGTCTGACTGGGGGATCTACAAACTGCAGCCTGTCTGCCTGCCTGCCCGTCTGGACACGTAGACACCCAGACCACTCCGCAAATGCCCATGTCCATGTCCATGTCGTCGTCGTCACCTCGCGACGCATTCGTGGCACTCGCGTTTAATCAGCGATGTTTGGAGCAGGACTCCTGAGCACTCCTCGGCGCCCAACTCCGGCTTCCATCGTCATTTATTGTTAGTGGCTGGCCAAAAATGCTTCGCTGTTGTTGTTGTTTAGATTTCTTTGTGCCGGGCATCGCTCCGTTTCAATATTTGCATGTCCCACTCCTCTGGAGAATCGGGAATTATTTCCTGCTCGACTGCTGGACTCCTGCTGCTGCTGTTGCTGCTGCGGTTCCATCATATATCATGTCCAGGGAAAACACTCCTTCTTCTGCTCGGTGGGCAGCTCCGCCGGTTTTTTTATGCATTTTCATTATTTTCAATTTCCATTTCGAGCGGAGCAGTCTCCAATCTATTAAGCGATTTGCCTGCCCTCTGCCAATTTGCATTTAAGCTGCTGCTGCCGCTCGTCTTTAAGGCAGCCCTTCAATTATCCTTCGGACCCGGAGAAGTCTCGTATTTCAGTGCTCCGATCCGGCAACAAGTGGCCTCAAAGTGCCTGCCAAGCTGTGAAATCTCGGACTCAGAAGTGCAGTTGCAGTTGCCAAGTTGCCAAGTTGCCAGGAGACGCTGTTATTGCCCAGAACAACAAGAAGGACGATGGACGTAGGATGCCATGGCATGCGGGATGCGGGGGCCCACAATTAACCGGCAGACCAGAGAGATCCTGCTGCCGCTTCCTTGAATGCCCCCGGCATCCTTTGCCACAGAGGAGGAGGAGTAGCAGGAGGTGGCCATTTTTCAGACCGGACACTTGAATGAGCTTTCAGGAGCACAGTTGTTGTGTGTGTCAAGGTCGTCTGGCTGTGGTCCTGCCATGTGGTGCTGGTGCTGGTGCTGGGCTTCCTGCTCCAAGACGGTGCCAAGTGATGAGGACGATAACGTCTCCATTTGTGCACGAGCCTGGCTGGCTCCTTTGTGTCTGTGTGTTTTCAGGGGGCGGAACGGGGGAGGAGGGACAAATCAGGACTCGGTCCCGGTCCCGGTCCCTCAGACATTCTTGGGGAATACCTTTTGGCAGCTCAGACTTGTCTGCCTCTCTGACAAACTTGGTGTTTGTTCGCCTGTTTGTTTGCCTTCCGTTTGTGTGCTCTAGAAATTTGTGTTTTGTGAAAATTGTTTTTCTTCCGCCCCTCCTCAAATGGACCTTTGCTGTGTTTAAGATTCTGTGGCTTGGGCATTTTGTAAATAATCTTGTTTCACAGGACTTCTGCTCCTGCTCCTGCTCCTGCTCCTGCTCCTGCATGGCGACTTTCCTGTCGACAGGCGCCAGTGGTCAGGTCCTGCATAATTTATGTGGGAAAGTCTCTGGGCCGGAGTGTTGCTCAAGAATTTGGGCAGGACACCTTTGCCAGTGTGTCTGGGCCTCGGAGTTTCGGGCGGAACAAAGTCAATTATTGTTATAGGTTTTCGCCCAACAAATTAAATGGTTTTGTGGTCGAGCACCAGACCGACCGAGTGCTGTTCGAGGCGTTTATTGTCGACGCAAGGTGAAGAAAGTGAATCGAATGACTGCACAAATTAATTCTGGGCAGTCAATTGTGGAGCGCCACTTAATTTGGGAAGTCATGTGGCCTGCATTTCGACATTCCAGCTACATAAATATGTCACTTCCGACGATCAAGGTACCACTATTATGGGGAGCGTTTAATGTGCCAAAGATGAAAAAGTACCTTATTGGAAATTCCTTAAATAACCTAAGTGCCTAATCATCTTGATCTAATGTTGTATCATAAAATTCCTAAGAAATACATATGTTCAAACCGGATTTTCCATTAGGCCTTAGTGCCGAAGACTTCCAAGGAGTGTTTTTAAAAAACAAATTATGTAGTGGGTTTAATCACAATAATTCGACGAAGACTTTTGCTGGCCTAAGTATCTTCGGTTCTATATACCTTCTTACCCATAATCCCGGTCAAAGAACAGCTATAAAGAACGAGCTTTCGTTACTAAGTTTAGCTCTCGACCACGAAAGCTTTCCACGCATGGTGGTGGAACAGGGAAGCAAGCGAAGTAAGCAGTGTTCCAGACTAGTGTCGAATGTAGGGATTGGCGCCCTGACTATCGCAGTCCGCAGTCCGCAGAAGCAGTGATTCGCATAGCCGAAATCTAAAGTGAAGTAGTTGAAACTGATGACAATGGAATTAACACGAAAACGCTACGCAGACTAAAGGTGAACTAGATGTATAGTTCGGCGCGATAAGGCCGCATTATCAGACCACGGACCGTGTTCATGCGATAGACCCAGACCAGCGCCCATTATAATGGGTAATCACCGCGGACGCCGAGCCGCCGTTCCGCCGCCTACTCATCCAAACCGGAGTCCAAGGTGCACGGCGTACAGCAAACATTACGTAGTTTCCAAGCGATTCAGAGTTATTTTGACGCCGGCCGTTGAAAAGTGATCCATAAAATTGATCGATAAGCCGAAAGTCAGCCTTATCGCCAAGAACTCGACTGGGAGAGCAGAGTAGCACAGTTCCAGAGTACCAGAGTACCTGGAGCAGACCCATTACGAATAGCCGATCATATCTCTGTTCTGGAGCATTAGCATCGGATGGCATGGCTTATCCATTTGGGTGCTTATCAGTTGCAGGTCGCCACGGGGCTTTCAGCTCGATTTCAGTTGGGTTCCAGCAGCGGAGCAGAGCAGTCGGTTCGCGATCAGTGCGAATCAGCAGATCCACGTGCCGAGCATAGAAACTAGCCAGTAAATACATCACCAGATCGGCAATAAAACACGCAGTGACTACTGATAAGAGTGCAGGCAATAAAACAAATACACATCAAATAGACAAAAATACGGCTACAAAAATACAAAAATACGTATACAGCCAAGATGATGTCACATACGGTGAGGTGCGTTTCGTGTTCCTTCTGGTGACCCCAGCTCCGTTACTAAATCCGCAGCTATTCCTCCAAACAGGGTCTTCAAGATGATGTACATCGTGGCGGGCATCCTCATCAGCAACGCGGAGATCTGCGACACAGTGGACCGCATACAAATAGCGCCACGCGTCGACCTGAAGCCGGAACTGTGCCTGACATCCGGGGGCAACAGCCCCGGCTCCCGATCCCGCACCCACTCTCGCCAAAACTCCGGAAGCGCATCCGCATCGGAGGAAGGATCGCCCACCAAGAAGCGCAGAGTCAGCGTTTCCGGTATCGCGGGTGGCGTGGTCAGGGGCGTCACTAGCCAGGTCTCCAAGAGAGTGGGCCACCGCTTCGTCTGGCTATCCGACATCCGGCTCATCCTCAAGCAGTGGCGACTCCTGGCCCTCAGCTTCAACCTGTGGACCATTCCCAACTTCGTGCTGCAGTGCCTCACCAGCTACATGAGCAAGAAGCTGCTCATCAATAGCGACTGTGATATGATCTACAAGTAGGATTAGGATATTGGGTACTGAGTAGTAGGACAGCGCGCCGAGAGGTTGCGATTTATTGTTACTTTAGTTTTTACATAGCTTTAAATCTGAATAAACAACTGCTAGACATAGATAAAGATACGTGTGCATATTTAAAAGGTGTGTGTGCCGTACAATTCACTTTGCTGCTCTTAGGAAACGCGATAAGTTATTGGGATATCGAAGATTTTTAGTTGTCTACAATTCGGTTTTTGATTGAATATTCTTTGCTAAGATTTTACAAAAAGATTGGCCTAAATTGCTTGAGCTTGTTAATATATTTTTGTATACATAGAGCTTCTGTTTACACGATAGCTGAAGTACTCAAAAGATAACGAAAAATATGTTCGTTTACCAAGTGAATTATACTGCCTTCTGGTCCCTAGAATCTCCTCCCTTTAGGTTTGTTCCATGGTTGTCCGTTTCCATTCCTAGTCTCCCTCCGCCGTGGAGTTGTCCGAGTTGTCCGGGCTGCACGGACTTCCGCCCCCGCCAGAAGCTCCTCCTCGCACATTGAGGCTGTTGTGGAGCATGTTGGCGATGCTGTCCACATCCAGGTTCTCGTCCGTGGCGGAGATCTTTCGCAGGGCCGAGCAGACGATGCTGAGGTCGCCCCTGAGCTCGCTGACCACCGCCGTGATCTTCTTGGCATTCGACAGGACCTCAACACTCATCGTGTACGGGTTGTAGCGCACTCCAAATGGTCGCTGGATGCTCTCGGCGAAGGCTCTTTAAGCAAGAGATTGGTGAAAGTTATTGAATGTGGGTTTCAGTGTAGGCAAGCCACCTCATCTGCTCCTTGGCCTCCTCGAAGGAATCGGTGTAGTAGTACGCGTTCTGGTAGGAGGTGATGATGCACTCCTCCTGGCAGGTCAGCTCCGGGTCGAACTTCTTGATCTTGTTCTCCGCCGTAATGGCATGCTGCAGCTCAGCCACTGAGCTCAGTAGTCCGGCTCCGTAAACCTTGAAGGTGCTGTCCGCCTGTTTGCACAGCCCGAATTCCACGGTGAAGAAGTAGAGCTGTTGGGGAAAACAGTTGATAAGCTGGGCAGGGATGGTGCAAGTTTGGAATAGCCACCGTAGCCAGCTTCTCGATATCCGCGTCGCTGGCACCCAAGGAGGCCAGGCCAATCTCCTGCGAAAACTGGGCAAAGCTGGAGTTGGCCAGCAGGGGCATGTGGCCCAGCAGCTCGTGGCAACAGTCCCTGGAAATGCAAATCTATTTGCTATAAAATCTATTTGCGGAATTGCTAAAAGTATGCCTTTAATTCAGATCAATCCCAACACAGAAGCAAGTAAAAGTATGCACCACAGTTTGTAATATACCAAAGTAAAGTGAAACTTACGGCTCCGGCGTGTAGAAGGGATCCGAGGAGTGCCGAATGTACTGGGTGCAGTGGAACACGCGGAAGGCGAGTCCGGACAGGAAGTCCCTTGGAGAGAGGTAGCCCGCCACAGGCCTGAGCTGGAATCCCGTCTTGCGCTTGAGATAGACACTCACATCCTGCAGCTGGGGCACGTTGTCCACGCGGTAGCCACAGTACTTCTCCAGCTCCGGCCAGTTGTCCATGTACTCGGGCACAGCGTGCAACACGTAAAGTCGATGGAGCTCCAGGAAAACGGTGCCCCTTTGTGCGAAAAGTTTCAAGAGCCGCCCACATGAATCGATGCGGCAGCAATCGAACGCAAATGCAATCAAAAACTTACCAGGTCTTCACCTCCTCAGGTGTGTATTGCACACGGGGAATGGGATTGCCACTAAACGGGGTCGTGTTCAAGGAGTGGGAGGATTAGGGAGGATGCGGCTGGGCTGAAATCCATTATCACACACTTACTGCTTGAAGTTGTTCGCTATGGCCGAGAACTGCTCCCGCCGCTTTCGGTAGACGGGGTCCTTGAATCCTGGATGGTCGGCATCCAACTCCGAGCCGTACATAAGCACATTCTGCGCCTTGTCCAGATCGGAGATCTTCCGCGGGAACCACACCATGTCCCCGAAATCTGGGGTAATGTAATTAAGACAACTAATTGTACAAAAGTCCCGACTCGTTTGGCCATATAAATAGTTATGCTCAGGATTTTTTGGGCAAACACGTACTGTTTCCGAAAACTTACCAAAACTGGAGCACGCCGACAGCGACGGAGCCCTGGCCAAGCCCTGGGTGTTCACGGAAGTGTAGTTCACCGAGGCCACCTCCCGGTTGAGCATCTTGACCACCTGGTCGAGTCGACGCGGATCGCACTCCACATCCACCAGGACATCCGCCTGGTTGGTGCCCATCTCCAGCGGCGAGAGCTCCAAATGCAGCACATTGATGCCCAGCTCCTGGAAAACCTGGAGGGCTCTGGCCAGATTTCCCACCTGGTTCCGCAGGCTGAAAATGATGGAGATGCGTTCGCCAGGGGAGTGCTGTCTTCCATTATCCTGACCAACACCACCACCGGCACCACCGATGGCCAGCCTTGGCGGCTCCGGCGGAGCGGACGAGTGTCTGGCGAGACTGGAGTGCGAGGAGGGACCGGATGTGGTGGCATCCTTTTTAAGCTGGTGCAAGGGACTTCCCTGCTTGACGGCCCACTCCTGCTCGCCGCTCCTGTAGAGCCACAGGCCCAGAAGACTCTTCCCGGAAGCACTCATCACTGCACTGCACTTGGTAGCTACTCCTTTTCGATTTCCGCGGGCACACGCGTCGTATGCGCAACTCAGCGCCAACTGCAAGATCCTTCGGATGCGAAAGTCCTTTTATAGGCAGCCCGCAGGACTCGCACACACGCAGGCACGCAGGAGATACATATTCAATTGTATTTATTAAGTGTGCGTGGCGAGATAAATTCGTTCAAGGATATAAAAGCTACAAGTGAGTTTTTCTGTCCTATTCAGAGGACCCACCTCCTTTCAGGGTGGCACGTCCTGATTGGCCAAATCATGTTGGAGTCAGGCCAAATCGCAAACGCATGACGTCACCGTGCCCTCACTCAGGAGGTCCTTTTTACTTTTGGACTCGTTTGTTTAAATGAATTGGGACTGTACAAATTAAATTTACATTTGAAATGCCAATTATATAGTTTGTTAATTACGAGAATAAGTGTATGCATGTACTTTATGTAGGGAAATAGGTGGAAAATGACAGGGTATGTAGCTCTCGGTATACGATCGCAATTTCACTTTCTAATCAGCAGCAACAACTTGCAATCGAATGAGGAAAAAGTCACGGGACTGGGGTTGCTGGACAGACAGCCAGACCCTTGACTTTCAAATTCAGGCGTTTAAATTATGCTGGTACAGCAGTAACTAGTGTACCGTGCGGAAAAGCTAGTGAAACCCTTGCAGAAATCGGAAAACTGCCGCCGCATAAAATCAATATGAAGTTAAGAAAAGTACCGAGCGTGCGACATTGAGAGTGGTCAAATAAATGGGTTGCTAGGTTGTCCAACCACCTAGTCGACTAGGCTATAAAGGAAAAACGCTTTCCAGCCAACGGCCACCAACCACTTGATGCTTCCGCAGAGTCAATAGTAGATAAATGGCAATTTCTTTCCGCCCGCTTCTTGGGCCTTTGTTTGAGCTTCGAGAAAAGCAAATAGCGCCAGGGGAGGCGGAAAAGCTGGAAAGCTGTGAAAAGCGCTGGGTGGACTGCTTGTGAGCCACATTCACTGCCACTTTACTATTAAAATATGCGAAAGGCCCACTAAAAACATGCGTGGGCAGCTCTCCACCCCCAACTCATCTGCTGAGGCGATCAACTTAATGGTGCTGGCTAACTGATTGACCGACAAACGACTGGCTCCCAGGAGCCATCCACTTTCTATTTGCCCACGAGCTGAAGGATTTATGGTTGCCCCAGAGGATGCAGGACATCCCCCACTCCGAGGTGAGGGCAGCCAGACGGAGATGGAGCCCGGAACGGAGTCGAGGTCACGATGAATGGCAGCTCTTGATTTCGGAATAATTAACTTAGACATCTAATTTGAATGTGGGAATGGGGGTCTCAACTGCGACGCGGCTTTAATTCGGCTACTGGAAGGGGTAATTCGATCAGCATTTAGGAAACAACATTTGCAATGTGTCTGCTTTAAGAGGTTCCTGAATATTTTGTTCGCTATATGCTGCCATTGTATATATTACGATTCCATTTTAAAAAACCAATGACTAATTACCTCATCATTGTGTTATCTTTAATTGTGTAAAAGTCATTCACACCAACCAGCTATAAAACGAAAATATTCGATGTTGTCTAAGGGTTAAACGTGTTACTAAGTTCTAAAAGCAAATGCAAATTTCAATGCCCAGGTTAGGGAATGCAAGGCATTACCAGAACGATCTACTTGAAGCAATCGTCGATGGGGGGCAGGGCGCCACTGCAGTAGTGCCAGGTGGACCAGGCGGGCCAGCCCTGTTCACCCAGAACCTTTTGGGCACATCTCACGGAGTTGGTGATGTCATCGGTCAGGAGGGCGTTGCAGCTGAGACCGCAGCCGTTGTGGGAGTACTTTCCACTGGGCGGCTGGCACCAGTAGAGGTCGTTGATCTGGAAAATGCCGTAGTCGTTGGATCCGTCGGAGTTGGGGGGACCCACCACTCCGGTGCGGTAGTCACTCTCGTGCTGGGCAATGCACGTCCACTTGGACAACTGGTCACGAGGAACGCCCAGGCTGGACATCTCGCGGGCGAGGGAGCAACGGTCCATGGTGCAACCCAGGGCCGCTGGAGTGGCCACTGCCAGCACACAGATTGCCAGGAGGGCTCTCATCGTGAATGGGTTGGATGTCGATGAGGTATTACTTGTCTACGCCGGCTGTCTCCCGTATTTATACCCGTGGATATGACGAAATTCTGAGTAATAGAGTAGCACTAAACAAAGGCCCTGTTGCTTATTTGTTGTACAACCACGATAAGAACCATGTGCTTATTCAATTGAGTTATCTGCAAATATTTATGCGGCCAGCTTTCATATCACAGAAAGCTTATCATCAAAAAGTTTTGTCACTTTGTTGCGAATTCAAAGGACCTAAGGACCTGTTAGACGAAGGCTGCATTAAATTTATGAATAAAATATTGTGGCATATATCCGACGATTTAAATATGCGATTAGTTGGATCTTCAACTGTCATTGCTAAAAGTGGGTAGCTCCCGCCCAGTACTTATAGCATTGGAGATCGCAACACAACTTATCTCAATCGGATTTTTAAGTGGCATACCTCTAAATGTTTCTGAAGCAATTCTCTAAAAAGCTGCATTCAAATTTAGAATTTTTTTTTTTTTAATTTTTTTGTAATTTTTCTTATGTTATGATGTAGAAATACAAAAATGACTCAAGGCTGACGTTGTAAAATCCATAACTCAACTTATCTTAATCCGATTTTGAAGCGGCATACCTCTAAATGATTCTGGAGCAATTCTCTAAAAAACTGCATTTAAATTTGGAAATTTATTTTTTTCAAATTTTTTTGGAATTTTGTTGGTGTTAATATGTTGTAGGAATTCAGAATTGTCCAAAGACTGAAGTTCTAAAGTCCATAACTCAACTTATCCTAATCCGATTTTCAAGCGGCATACCTCTAAATGTTTCTGGAGCAATTCTCTAAAAAACTGCATTTAAATTTGGAAATTTATTTTTTTCAAATTTTTTTGGAATTTTGTTGGTGTTAATATGTTGTAGGAATTCAGAATTGTCCAAAGACTGAAGTTCTAAAGTCCATAACTCAACTTATCTTAATCCGATTTTGAAGCGGCATACCTCTAAATGTTTCTGGAGCAATTCTCTAAAAAACTGCATTTAAATTTGGAAAATTTTTTTTTTTTTAATTTTTTTGTAGTTTTTTTGGTGTTAATATGTTGTAGGAATTCAGAATTGTCCAAAGACTGAAGTTCTAAAGTCCATAACTCAACTTATCTTAATCCGATTTTGAAGCGGCATACCTCTAAATGTTTCTGGAGCAATTCTCTAAAAAACTGCATTTAAATTTGGAAATTTATTTTTTTTTAATTTTTTTGTAATTTTTTTGGTGTTAATATGTTGTAGGAATTCAGAATTGTCCAAAGACTGAAGTTCTAAAGTCCATAACTCAACTTATCTTAATCCGATTTTGAAGCGGCATACCTCTAAATGTTTCTGGAGCAATTATCTAAAAAACTGCATTTAAATTTGGAAATTTATTTTTTTCATATTTTTTTGTAATTTTTTTGGTGTTAATATGTTGTAGGAATTCAGAATTGTCCAAAGACTGAAGTTCTAAAGTCCATAACTCAACTTATCTTAATCCGATTTTGAAGCGGCATACCTCTAAATGTTTCTGGAGCAATTCTCTAAAAAACTGCATTTAAATTTGGAAATTTTTTTTTTTTTAATTTTTTTGTAATTTTTTTGGTGTTAATATATTGTTGGAATTCAGAATTGTCCAAAGACTGAAGTTCTAAAGTCCATAAATCAACTTATCTTAATCCGATTTTGAAGCGGCATACCTCTAAATGTTTCTGGAGCAATTCTCTAAAAAACTGCATTTAAATTTGGAAAATTTTTTTTTTTTAATTTTTTTGTAGTTTTTTTGGTGTTAATATGTTGTAGGAATTCAGAATTGTCCAAAGACTGAAGTTCTAAAGTCCATAACTCAACTTATCTTAATCCGATTTTGAAGCGGCATACCTCTAAATGTTTCTGGAGCAATTCTCTAAAAAACTGCATTTAAATTTGGAAATTTATTTTTTTTTAATTTTTTTGTAATTTTTTTGGTGTTAATATGTTGTAGGAATTCAGAATTGTCCAAAGACTGAAGTTCTAAAGTCCATAACTCAACTTATCTTAATCCGATTTTGAAGCGGCATACCTCTAAATGTTTCTGGAGCAATTCTCTAAAAAACTGCATTTAAATTTGGAAATTTATTTTTTTCATATTTTTTTGTAATTTTTTTGGTGTTATTATGTTGTAGGAATTCAGAATTGTCCAAAGACTGAAGTTCTAAAGTCCATAACTCAACTTATCTTAATCCGATTTTGAAGCGGCATACCTCTAAATGTTTCTGGAGCAATTCTCTAAAAAACTGCATTTAAATTAGGAAATTTTTTTTTTTTTAATTTTTTTGTAGTTTTTTTGGTGTTATTATGTTGTAGGAATTCAGAATTGTCCAAAGACTGAAGTTCTAAAGTCCATAAATCAACTTATTTTAATCCGATTTTGAAGCGGCATACCTCTAAATGTTTCTGGAGCAATTCTCTAAAAAACTGCATTTAAATTTGGAAATTTTTTTTTTTTTAATTTTTTTGTAATTTTTTTGGTGTTAATATATTGTTGGAATTCAGAATTGTCCAAAGACTGAAGTTCTAAAGTCCATAAATCAACTTATCTTAATCCGATTTTGAAGCGGCATACCTCTAAATGTTTCTGGAGCAATTCTCTAAAAAACTGCATTTAAATTTGGAAATTTATTTTTTTTTAATTTTTTTGTAATTTTTTTGGTGTTAATATGTTGTAGGAATTCAGAATTGTCCAAAGACTGAAGTTCTAAAGTCCATAACTCAACTTATCTTAATCCGATTTTGAAGCGGCATACCTCTAAATGTTTCTGGAGCAATTCTCTAAAAAACTGCATTTAAATTTGGAAATTTATTTTTTTCATATTTTTTTGTAATTTTTTTGGTGTTATTATGTTGTAGGAATTCAGAATTGTCCAAAGACTGAAGTTCTAAAGTCCATAACTCAACTTATCTTAATCCGATTTTGAAGCGGCATACCTCTAAATGTTTCTGGAGCAATTCTCTAAAAAACTGCATTTAAATTTGGAAATTTATTTTTTTCAAATTTTTTTGGAATTTTGTTGGTGTTAATATGTTGTAGGAATTCAGAATTGTCCAAAGACTGAAGTTCTAAAGTCCATAACTCAACTTATCTTAATCCGATTTTGAAGCGGCATACCTCTAAATGTTTCTGGAGCAATTCTCTAAAAAACTGCATTTAAATTTGGAAATTTATTTTTTTTTAATTTTTTTTAATTTTTTTGGTGTTAATATGTTGTAGGAATTCAGAATTGTCCAAAGACTGAAGTTCTAAAGTCCATAAATCAACTTATCTTAATCCGATTTTGAAGCGGCATACCTCTAAATGTTTCTGGAGCAATTCTCTAAAAAACTGCATTTAAATTTGGAAATTTATTTTTTTTTTATTTTTTTGTAATTTTTTTGGTGTGAATATGTTGTAGGAATTCAGAATTGTCCAAAGCCTGAAGTTCTAAAGTCAATAACTCAACTTATCTTAATCCGATTTTGAAGCGGCATACCTCTAAATGTTTCTGGAGCAATTCTCTAAAAAACTGCATTTAAATTTGGAAATTTTTTTTTTTTAAATTTTTTTTTAATTTTTTTGGTGTTAATATGTTGTAGGAATTCAGAATTGTCCAAAGACTGAAGTTCTAAAGTCCATAAATCAACTTATCTTAATCCGATTTTGAAGCGGCATACCTCTAAATGTTTCTGGAGCAATTCTCTAAAAAACTGCATTTAAATTTGGAAATTTTTTTTTTTTAAATTTTTTTTTAATTTTTTTGGTGTTAATATGTTGTAGGAATTCAGAATTGTCCAAAGACTGAAGTTCTAAAGTCCATAAATCAACTTATCTTAATCCGATTTTGAAGCGGCATACCTCTAAATGTTTCTGGAGCAATTCTCTAAAAAACTGCATTTAAATTTGGAAATTTTTTTTTTTTTAATTTTTTTGGACTTTTTTTGGTGTGAATATGTTGTAGGAATTCAGAATTGTCCAAAGACTGAAGTTCTAAAGTCCATAACTCAACTTATCTTAATCCGATTTTGAAGCGGCATACCTCTAAATGTTTCTGGAGCAATTCTCTAAAAAACTGCATTTAAATTTGGAAATTTATTTTTTTTAATTTTTTTGTAATTTTTTTGGTGTTAATATGTTGTAGGAATTCAGAATTGTCCAAAGACTGAAGTTCTAAAGTCCATAACTCAACTTATCTTAATCCGATTTTGAAGCGGCATACCTCTAAATGTTTCTGGAGCAATTCTCTAAAAAACTGCATTTAAATTTGGAAATTTATTTTTTTCATATTTTTTTGTAATTTTTTTGGTGTTATTATGTTGTAGGAATTCAGAATTGTCCAAAGACTGAAGTTCTAAAGTCCATAACTCAACTTATCTTAATCCGATTTTGAAGCGGCATACCTCTAAATGTTTCTGGAGAAATTCTCTAAAAAACTGCATTTAAATTTGGAAATTTAGTTTTTTTTAATTTTGTTGTAATTTTCTGGGTGTTAATATGTTGTAGGAATTCAGAATTGTCCAAAGACTGAAGTTCTAAAGTCCATAACTCAATTTATCTTATCTTAAATAACGTTTACTGCACAGATATGTTCGTAAAAAGGACAAATCAGGGGGTGTCAACACCCCGTTTTTTAGATCCGCTCCTGGCTGTTCGTGCGCAAAGCGCAACAGCATTGCAATTCGCAAGTCACCCCCACTCGGAACGGGGAGCGGAAGTGGTTCACTGCGCAGGCGCGCTTCCTGTCAACCCCCAGGAGAGAGTATGGGGGACGCATAGCGGTAAACAAAAACAAGTTTGGCTCTCCAGCGGGAGAAAGAGAGAGAGAGTGAGAGAGCTTGCGAATGACAGCTAAAAGTCCCAAATTTCCCTGGCTTGGACCTCCACTATTTCGAATTTGGCACCACTCACATCTGGAATTCAGACGGGGACACTCAAGTACGCCAGCAACGTCAAGGAAATTATCGATTTTCGCATGTGAAGTGAAAAAAGTGACTCCGTTGGCAAAAACTGTAGCTTTAGCAGTTCGCCAGTGAAATTCCAACCCAAAACAGATCACACACACTAACTGAGAGCCCCAGTTAGCCTGTAGTGGTGGGCGTGGCAGCTGGTCGGACCCCGGTCCCCAAACGACATGGCCG